GGAAGGGAGCCACCAAAGGGGACTTCCCGGGGGACACGGAGTTGCCCAAAACTTTTTTTTTTTCGGACCTCGCCATGATGGAGGGCGTTTCGAACGGGTAGGCCCAGGACCAAAATGAAGTCAAGGTGTCGAAGTGGATGGAAGTTAAGAAGAGGGTTTCGACGAGCCGCACGTGCCAGAGGGATGTGGAAAACGCGGGGGGTTCTGAATGGAAAGTCGCAGTTGCGGCGCACCCAGAAACCAGGGTCCAAACAGTGGGAGAGGGGGGGGGGGGGTGTGAATTATTGGTGTGACTCTGACCGCTTCGTAGTTGGGGTAAGGCGGGTCGACGGTGTGGTGCAGCGTGCAGTGTGATGCGGTGTGGTGGGAATGAAGTTCGTGATGTTAAGGGAAAAAGGTTTCGAGAGGGGGAAGCAGGTCGAGGGTGGGACAGTGGAAGGGGAAAAAAGATGCTGCTGGAGAGGTTGTTGACGATCACAGACCTGGTCGCAGTGTGGAGGTCCAGTCGTCCAGTCCAGTCTCGACCGCCACTTTGTCTTTGGGCGTTCTCAGGGAAGTCACGATCAAGCCAGCTGGATGCAGATGCCAGGTGCAGAAGCCACTTGCCAGCGCCTGTGCCAGTGCCAGAGGGCTGAGAGGGTAAGGTGCCGAACCCTGGGCCGTGAGCGTGGGTTAGGCGTTAGGCGAGGGGGAAGGGGGGGGAGCGTGGCGTGGGTAAGGGCGCGAAATGAGTTGTGGAGAAGGCAGTCAGGCGGGAGCACAGTGCTGTCCAGTCACTGTCGCCAGGCTGGATGTCTTGGGTGGGTTATTGTGCTGCCGGCTCCTCTTCGCAGATGTACGATCTTGTTGTTGGCCAGGGGAGTTTTATTTGTTGTTGTATTGTTTTGGTTTTTCCCATCTGGGCGAGGCAGAAGAAAGACGGCCGGAGCTGGTGCTGTCAAAAGGGAAAATGAAGCAGCGACATGCCCTACTGCCTTTGAAGGCAAAAATTGATTTAGACAGAAGGGTTGACCGGTTCACCCCACAGGTACATAAGGTGCCTCACCAAGGTGCCTTGCCTTAATGAATGTACCTAGGCATCTATAGGCACCCTATTGGCGCAAAGGTCTCGAATCCAAAGCAAAGGCATCTGCCACTCAGTGACGGCGGCTGCCTTGGAAGGAAGGAAGGGGGGGCGAGTCAATTGTGGGAACGAGGGGTGTGCAAAGGGAGTGATTGGCTACCATCAAATGACCCTTCACAAATGGACCCACCACAAGCCACAAACTAGATGCTTTCAGCAGAGCCAACAGAGAGTATGCGCAGCATTGTGCTAATAAGCCAAGACTTGGAATCCAGGCCAAACCATTATGACACTCAAAGTACCTACCTGCATATTATGGCCTCACGACGGAAGAAAACACCCCCTGGTCCTCTGTTTTGACACCCCTTTACAGTACAGCATCTAGGTCAATCGGTTCAGAGGAGACTGGAGTCACACAAAGTCCTGGACGGTAGGGAGATAGGCAGAAGGTGTCTATCTACGTAGTAGTGCCGTGCATTTCTGTCACAGGAGAGACAGACTGCCCTTGATCTCACGGAGATTGCACTTTGTCGCCAGAACTTTGGGTTCTGTTTTGGTGTGGTTCCCGTGACTCTGGGCTCCCTGCCGGAGCCCGTCGAGGAATGAACCGTCCTCACGGCAGAGACGGGGTTGCTATTCTTGTCCATGTCTCGCGTGCCGCAGATGCCAGGCAACCTGCAGACTGCATCGGCACTGAGCATTGGCCACCAAAACGATTGCAGTCAGCCACCTTGGCTGAGTCGAAGTTCATCATCATAGTCGATGCATCGGACACAACGCTACTGGCTTCGCATACTTGCGTGCGTGCGTGCTTCTGCTTCAAGAGGATCACTCGCCGCAAGGCTGGTAAACAGCCATTTTGTTGAGCAGGCGGTGGTCTCACGTCGTTGGCATGTTGGAGACAGCCTCTCCGTACCCAACCACTGGATGGCATGGCAAAGCACGATTCTGACCTAAGATATTTCAAATGACTTGATTGAGGCCGATTGACAGGACGCATAGCTCATGTGAGGCCCCTCCTGGTCCTCACAAATCTTCTTCGCGGCATTTCTTGATGACCGCCTATCGGCCAACACAGACGTCTCCTGAGTCTGCCCAGCTCTCTTCGTCTCCTTCTCCTGTATCGCTCTATCCAGACGAGACACCGCCAATAAATTACTCCAAACAAGATGGACCAGCAACTGGTCACTAAAGGGGAAAAGGAGGAAGTGAAGAAGAGTAGATATACACAGAAAGAAAAATGACGTGGCAGCTCAATGCTGATGAGCAAGAAGCAAGACACACACAAAAAAGCAAGACAAAGAAAGCAGTTCGTCCTATGTATCCCTGGGCATGTCTGTGACGCCTCCCACCTACACTCCTCGCTTTCTTTCCAGGTTTGACTATGTTCAAGGTATCGGCCGTATGTACGGAGAGCTTTGTCTCCAAAGACGTGAAAAACAACTTCGCTCAGTATGCTCGCGCAAGGGGCAGAAGATATGCTTTACCACGTAAAGCTCTCCTCCACAAAGTCGACTACCGTGTCTTCATCCTGGACCTGTCGCACAGCATGTCGGACATCATCGGCAAGTGCGCCAGGTCCACAGACTGTCACGCACATGGCGCCCTTCTGTTCCTCGACCTCCTTGCGCAGGAGCGTCGCGACGCTTGGTCGGCCGGGGAACATCTGAACAGTAGAGCTTGCGGAAACAATCTCGCGCGGGTTCTTGGGTCGTGTCACAAACAGCTGGATGCGCAGAAGA